GTGCATTGGGATTGTGTATTGGGGCTAGGAGTGCTACGCGGGAGTGCGGAACAGACAATTTATCTTTAGGTCATAGGTTTCTAGACTAAAAAGAACTGTATGAGCCAGCCACACATGAACCACACACATGCAAGGACCACTGAGCCTCCTCCAGAGGTCCTGGACCTGGAACTGGACACTGCAGAATCCCCCTCGCCTCAAATCCCTGTCACCCTTCAGGCTCAGATTTCCATGTCCCTGGCCTCTAGGTCCAGATTTAAAAGGCTCCTGAAAGTGGGTCAGGCCCACTTGGGGAGGGGGAAGGTAGATTTTATGTGAGTGACACCTCTGGGTCAGTGCTCTCACTGTCCCTCTGCCATGATGACCACCATGTTTTAGACAGTGGCTGCCCCATCAACCTCCCTGTCCCTGGGTGCCTCACTATGGACTTGTAGCGTGGCCAGAAATAAACCTTTGAGATTTGCAAGTTGTTTGTACTGCAGCATGGCCCAGCCTCTCCTGAGTGATATAGGGATTCTACTTATTTCACCTGGTGGAGAGGTGTCCCCAGGGCGTCTGACTTAACCCAGCTTGGTCTGTTCACCCTCTGTGCTTCTCTCCCTCCTGTGTGGAAGGCTTCCTGGACCACATGCCTCCCTCTTTGTTGACTGAATTCTTCATTTTGGAAGCATTATCTCTGGTAGCTTCCTACCACGAGAAAGGATGTATGGAAGGCATTATTTATTTATTTATTTTTTTTGGAAGGCGAATTTTGTGAGACCTCCCACATCTAAAAATATTTGGTTTGTACTGTCTGGGTAAACACGGGAAAGTAATTTTACTTTAGATTTCCCAAGGCTTTGCCCCTTGCCTGGTCTACCTGTTGCTGTGGGAAAGCCCACAACCACTCTGACTCCTGACAATCTCTATGTGACCTGCTTCTATTGTCAGGACGCTTCTTGTCTCCATTATTCTGAACTTCAACAGCAATCTCCTTGAGGGTAGGACTATTTTTTTCCAATGAGCTGGGCTCCCTGAGGGCCCTTTCAACACACATTCTTCAGTAGTGGAGACTTTTCTTGGATTAATTCATTGATGACTCCACCCACCCCCTGTTTTCTCTGATCATTCATTCCGGGTTCCTGTTATTTCATCAATGGACTTCCTGGATGCTCCTCTAATTTTTTCTCTATTTCCCATTTCTGGCATTCTTTTTTGTTCTACTTTCTTTGTTTTTTTTTTTTTTTTTTTTAAAGATTTTATCTATTTTAGAGAGAGAAAAAGAACACCAACAGGGGATGGGTAGAGAGAAAGGGACAAAAAGACTCCGTCCTGAGCATGCACCAAAATCACCTCAGCTGAAATCAGGAGCCAGGTGCTCAACTGACTGAGCCACCCAGGCACCCCTTGTTCTACTTTCATAGGGATTTCCTCAACTTTATCTTGTTCCCCCTTCCTGAATCCTTTCTGCTATCTTATGTTAAATTTTGTTTGTTCTCTGAATGTTTCTCTATAGGTGTCCTGCCTTCATGGGTGGCAGTATCTTAATTTCTCTGATGACATTATTAGTAGTTTATGTTGACATATATTTCTCTTTGTATAGTCTCTGTTTCTTCCAAGTTGCTTTTTAAAAAGCCATTGGGGCTCTAGATTTCATGCCCCCCCACCCCCGTTTCCTGAGATGCCAGGTCAGCTGTGGCTTCCTGTGAAAGACTGATTAGAAGCTCTGTACACATGTGTGGGGCTCATTATCAGTGGCCTCTCCTTGGGGTGATCTGACTTAGCTGGGCAACCACAGATGCCAGAAAGTTGAGGTATTTCCCTTGGCCCGGTCTGATGCTCCAGAAAAGACCCTTTGTCTCCTGGCCCCTGCAATCTGAAATGCCAAGAGGGGTGCAGGGGCTGGTCTCAGTATCCAATATCTTTAAGTTCATTTAATCCCCCTGTTATGGCATTTAATCCAGCAGTTATGGCACCACTGCTGTTAATTGTGCCTGGTATCTCCCAACCCAAGATGCTTCCTTTTGCTTTCTTTAGGTTCCAGAAGTTTCAGGAGGCTCCAGAAGTTCACCACCTTTACCAGAAACCCCAGCTACCTTTTCAGTCTTGAACCTCTTTCCTCCCAGACACATCTCCATCTACTAGTTCTCATCTGATCTTCCCTACTCTGTTTTTGTATATTCTGTTCCTTCCATCTGACACTTGATCCCCACCCACCCTCATTTATACATAAGCTACCTCTGCCAGAATACCACATAAGAAGAAAAACACGGACTACTCACAGCTCTGGGGAGGAGAAATGCATCTCTCGATACTGGAACATACTTCTACATGGTAAAGGCTGCAGGGTCTGAGGCTTTCAGTGAACGATCATCACATGCTTGAGAAACCAACCAGGGAACTGAGTTTTGCATCCAGAATGCCACAGGGCACAGCTGAAACCCTTAGGGAGACTGCACTCAGCACCCCCCAGAGAAGCCTAAGGACAGCTCTGGGCTGTGGATGGGGGTGGGGTGCATGGCAGTGCAGAGGACCTCGACCCAGGCCAGCCTCCCCTCACCCAGAGCAGGTGTCTTGCCCATGGCTGTGGCCCAGTGCCTAGAATAGTGCATGCTTGTAGGAGGACGGCCAGTGTGTGTGTGCAGGCTGGGGTACTGCAGTAGGAGAGGAACAGGCAGGGGATGGATGCCGGTAAGTCCGGGAAGGGCCAGCTCCAACCTTAACCAAGTGACTGCGGCATGTGGCAGGACCACGGGAACATTCTGAATCATTATTTGGTCAGAACACAAACCTCTTAAATGTCATCAACACAATCTGCCTGGCAGAACGACTCCTTCCCGTCAGGAGACCCTCCTGGAGGGATCTGACCCAGATGGCCCTTACGGAGCCCACCCCAGGGAAGCACTCCTGCGGACTTCCCAGAGGGCACCGGCTTGATCAGGGAGAGAGGTAAGCGGAGGGTGCCAGTTACCAACACCGAGGGCGCTCGCTCTTCACCATGACACGCCACAGAGAACATCTGTCTCAGTTCCTTCTTCGTTACCTGGAAAAACGTTTTTTTTTTTTTTTTTTTCTCACCAGGCCTCAAATTAATTCGGTGGGAAAAGGCCGCTCCTAATTTTGCGCGCAGGATAACGCTGCCTACCCTCCACCCCACCCAGGTCCACGCGGTTCCAGCGTCTCGAGCGTCTCGGCTGCTGCCACCCAGCAGGTTCCCCGCGCGGTCCGTCGGCTGACACGTGCGATCCGTCCACTAAGGCAAACCGCCCAGGGGCTGCAGTCCCAGGCGCTGCCTTCCAGTCCAGGGGCTGCCGGCGAGGGTCCGGAAAGGAGCTTGCTGCGCTCATTCCGAGGCAGTGGGAAGCTGTACACTGGTTCCTCCCACGGGGGCTAGGCCTGTAGAAGGATGGTGGGGCCGAGGGGGTGAAGGCGGGGGCGCCGGGGACGGTCGGGGCCAGTTGGAAGGGCCAGGGCCAGGGCCATGAGGACGCGGACTGGACGGCCCGGAGTATTCGCTCCGCCAGGCCCAGATGGCGGGTGGGTGGGGCGCGGTGGGCGGGGGCCTCGCAGCTGGTGGCGTTTGAAGCCTTCCCACCGCGGTGGGAGGAGGCAGCCCAGAGGAATTGGCAGCAGGCCTGGGGCGAGAAGGAAGGGGCCCCGCGTTCCCCGAACAGCGGCGCCGGCTGCCCCCGCACGTAGTTCACTGCTGCAAGCACGAGAGGCGGTGGGCACGTCACCCCCGCTGCCAGGTTACCCACCAGCCCGGGGCCAGTCGTCAGGCTCCGCCGGAGCCCGGCTCCCCACCAGCGCGATCCCCTCCGCGTCCCCGGCCGCCCGGGACCAGACCGGGACGCCGTCAGTCCTTCCTGCGGGAGCGGCCCCGCCCCAGTCGTGACCTCGCTCCCAGCCGAGCCGCCCCGAGGCCGCGAGCTCAGCAGAGGAAGAGCAAGGAGGGGGCGAGCGCCCGCGTCTCGAGGCGCTGCCACCTAGAAACCCTGCGGCGGCGGGGGTCACGAGGAGTGGCTCCGCCCCCGGGCCAGGCCGGCAGCCCCGCGCCCAGCGGAGCGGACACGCCTCCTCGCCTGCAAACGTCCCTGCGGTAGGAAAGAGAGAAGGGGAGGCGAGCCCCGCCGAGGCGCACCCATCCCTGGCGCCCCTCACAGGCGGGGATGGAGGGACAAAGGGGCGCCCTCCCGAGCGCTCGCTTCCACTCCCGGGCTCGAGGATGTCACCGTAGGGAAGCCCGGCAGGAAAACGTCCCGCGGTCTCCCCGCTGTTGGGGGGGCAGGGTGAGAGCGGTCCCTGCGCAGCCACGCCCCGGCCCGCCGCCCTCGGACGTCCTGCGTCAGCGAGCCCGGCTCCCGGCTCAAATTTCCGCTCCTCCTCCCGCGGGCCACGAGGGCACGCCCACTGGCGCGCGCAGGCCCCGAGGCGGGTCGGCCCCTGTCGCCGCTTGGGTTGGTCCGGCCGCCCACCGACGAGCCAATGGCGTCCGCCCGTGCTGCCGTAGGCCACGCCCCCTCCCCGGGCGTGGGCGCGCGGCCGCTCGCTCCCGACGACGCGCGCTCTGGGGCCCCCGCCCGCCGCCCGCCGCCCCCCGCCCCCTCCGCGCGCGCAGTTCCCCGCGGCCGCCGCCGCCTGTAACCTGCGCCGCCAGGATGTGGCTGGGGGCTGACGTCGGGTCCAGATGTGGCCCCGGCCCCGCCCACCCCGGGGCCGGGCCGCCCACACCGAGCCGCGGCGCGCACGGCGGCTGTCCCGCCTGCCACAATGCGCGGCGAGGCTGCGGCCGCGACTCGGCGAGGGGGTCCCTAACGTCGCCGCTCGGCATCCTTAGGACAGGCCGCCCCTGACGCCGCGCGGGGGGGATCCCACTGGCCCGCGCCCCCCATGCGCTCACTGTTCGGTGCCCGGCCGGGCCGGCGCCTCGCGGACGCGGAGCCGCGCGGGTGACGGCAGAGGCGGCTGCGCGCCCAGCCCAGCCCGCGGAGAGGGCGCGCCGCGCCCCCGCCCCCCGCCGCACGCCGCCCGCCGCCCGCCGCCCGCCGCCCGCCCGCTCTCCGGAGGCCGTGGGTGCGGATGCGCCGCTGACGACTCGCCGCGACCAGCAGTGCCGCCGGGCCGCCGGCCGGATCCCGCAGCATGGCAGCCGCCGCCTATGTGGACCACTTCGCCGCCGAGTGCCTCGTGTCCATGTCGAGCCGCGCGGTCGTGCACGGGCCGCGGGAGGGGCCGCAGGCCGGACCCGAGGGCGCGGCCGCCGCTGTCGCCGCCACGCTGCCCCGCGTCGAGGAGCGCCGCGACGGCAAGGACAGCGCCTCGCTCTTCGTGGTGGCGCGGATCCTGGCGGACCTCAACCAGCAAGCGCCGGCGCCCTCCCCGGCGGAGCGCAGAGAGGGCGCCGCGGCCCGGAAGGCGAGGACCCCCTGCCGCCTGCCGCCGGCGCCGCCGCCCGCCCCCGAGCCCGCCTCCCCCGGCGGCGGAGGTGCGGCGGCCGCGCCCCTCAGCCCCGCGTGGAGCGAGCCCGAGGCCGAGCTCGAGGCGGGGCTGGAGCCCGAGCGGGAGCCGGGGCCCGCGGGGAGCGGCGAACCCGGCCTCAGACAAAGAGGCCGGCGGGGCCGAAGTCGCGCCGACCTCGAGTCCCCGCAGAGAAAGCACAAGTGCCACTACGCGGGCTGCGAGAAAGTTTACGGGAAGTCCTCGCACCTCAAGGCGCACCTGAGAACTCACACAGGTCAGTAGGGCCGCCCGGGCGCCGCGAGCGCGCGGACAGGGACGGCGCCGGCCCCCGGGCCACGCCCCCGGGCCGCCGGCGGGGCTCGAGGGACGGTCGGGCCGGGGGTGGCCGGGGCCGGCCGGGGCCTCGCCCCTTCTCCCGCCACGGGGTCCTGCCGGCTGCCCCGCGCGCCGGGCGAGGCGGCTCCGGGCGCCGGGAGCCGGGAGCCGGGCGCTGGGAGCCGGGAGCCGGGAGCCGGCGCCCGCCGGGCGACCGCGCCCCCGCCGGGCACGCCCCCTCCCCGGGCGCTCTCGGGCGGGGCCGCGGGGGCGGATGTCGTCATCCGGGCTGCGGGCGTGGACCCCGCGGGGGCTGGGGGACGGCGCGGGCAGGTGTGGGCGCGCTGAGTGGGGGCCGCACGTGCTGCTCTGGGGAGGCGGGCGGCGGGGGCGCCTGGGGGCGGCGCGGGCGGGGGTGCCCTCGCCCCGGCCCCTCCCCCGCGGGCGGGCGGCGCGCGCGCGCTCGGCAGGGAGGCGAGGGGAGGGGAGGGGAGGGGGGGAGGGAGGGATCCGCGGGACCCGCCCCGCCCGGCCCGGCTGGGCTCGGCTCGGCTCGGCCCGGGCGAGCGGCGGGCGAAGTTCACGCGGGGACAGGGCTCCCTCCAGCCACTCGGCACATTCTTCGCTCTCCTCTTCCTGTAATTTTTCCAGCGCTCTGAGGTTTAACTTGTCGGAGCCAGAGCCAGCAGCGGCCGACGCGGGGGGCGGCCCGGGTTCTCCGCCGCAGGCTCTTTGTGGGAGCCCCGCCCATCCGGCCGGCGGGGGCGCGCCCAACCCAAGGGGGCTCCTCGGCCTCGGGGCGCTTTCCCCAGAAAGGAGCGCCCCTCCGTCTGCCGGGTCCCGCGCACCGCCCTCTTCTCCGCCCTGCTCTCACCTACCGGCGTCGGGTGCGCGCGGGCGGCACCTGCGCGGGAGCGGGCGGCCCCAGCGCGCCGCCGCCCGGCCTCCGACCCCGGGGCAGACCTCCCCTTCGCACGGGCCCGGAGCCCCGTTTTTGGTGCTTTTTCGTTTTTTTGTTTTTTTTTTGTTTTTTTTTTTTTTTTTTTTTTGTTTTTTTTTTTTTTAAGCACAAACGTGGGAGCTGTGTTTTAACGGATGGCATACCTTTCTCTCCTGGTTTGGTTTGAAGGAAATGTGTCTTTGCTCAGGGCTCGCGCTAACTCTTGTTACACTTGATCTTTCCACATTTGGACCAGGTTAAAAACCCGAATACAGTTACTTTGTTACCAGTGACTTAGGTTTTACATTTAAAAAACAGTAAAGAAGCTGACTAAAAGACTGACTCAAAAATCGCAGTCCTAAGACCCTGGAGCTGAAAGACCCCCTTCTTTTGGCGAATTTGGAACGGAGCTGTCCCGAGGTCTGCAAGTGTCAAGGCCGCGGATTTCAGACCAACCTCTACCTCGGAGGCTGCCCCCGCGGTCTGGTCCTTGCCGTGGCCGCCCCGAATCGCGTGGCTGGTGGTGGGGGGGCGTCGAGGGTGAATGGCGGGGCCTTTTCTGCTCGTTGTGAGTACGAATTAGGGTGTGTGGACCGAGACAGGGGGTGGGGGTTAGTGTAGGCATATTGGTTCTGCTTGGGAACTGTAGCGCAACGGTGGGTGTGGCGGTGAAGGAGGGGCCAAGCTAGGCTAGGATCCTGGGGCTGCCAGATTACGGAGGCGGGGGCAGTGCGTGGGGCGTGGCTTGAGGGCCGCCCTGGGGGCCGAGGCCAGTCAGTATTGGACGGGTAATTGAATGATTGGACGCCCCTCCAGCCTGTTTCCCAGGGGATCCTCCGCCCGGCTGCGGTGTTGGAGAACCACGGAGGGGCTGGCCGAGGGCGGGGCTCGCTGTCGAGGGCGGGGCAGGCTTGGATGGGGCCTGAGCTGGAGGGTAGCCTCTGGGTTGGCTCACCCCCTGGTTCAGGCTCTAGTGTTCCTGAGCAGGTCTAGGCCAGAGGATTGGGCAGAGGCAATGGGAACCCGGGCCTCCCCCAGTGGGGTGGAACCCAGTCTCTCTGGGGTGCTTTGAAACCTGAAACAACAGGAGAGGATGGAAACCAACACCGACTGCAGTGTGCTGTGTCTAAGAGCAAGGAGCCGGCCTCACCCTCCAGGTGTGCAGAAACTCGAGGCCCTACCTCCAGAGCAGATGTAGACCTCTGAGTCAGGAGTGTACAGGTTTCTTTGGGAGCCCTTGCAGATGTAGATTTCCAGTTCCAGATACTGACCATCCGCCCAACAGTTTAAATGGTGCCCCAGGTGAATCTGATTATGAACCACGAACCTGCCTCTGGGGGGTGTCTGGTTCAGCCTCTGCTGGAGGGCTCTTCTAGGGAGCCTGTGCCAGGTGTACAGAACATAATTAGCTGGTGGTCATAGAGGATACAAGGGTAGCCCACAGGCCACAGTGGGGGACTGAGAGGCCAGGCTACCCTGGGAGAACCTGAGCAGCAGACTTTGGTTCTGAGGTAGCCCTGGTTTGGTTTGTGGGCTCCCAGCAGCTTTTGGCGGGGGGGTCTCATGCGAGGCCTTCTACCTCACTGGGAACCTCCACCACCACCATCCCACCCACCCATACTGATCTCATGGCAGGGGAGTGAATATCAAAACCACTTTAGTCAAAAAGGCAATTCACAGCCTGCCCTGTCTAGCCCTGTGGCCAAGGACTGGTCCCCAGACCTCCCTGCAGCTTGGTGATGTCTCCCCTGGCCACTTGGAAGATCTGTGGGAAATGAGGCTGTGAGTTTGAGAACGCTTTGGGAAGTACAAAACTCAACCTTGACTCTGGGGGGAGACTTGGCCTTCCCTGACTCTGCTGCAATCTCCCACACCCACTCCCTGAATGCAAAAGAGTGCCAGTGACTTGGGGACTGATTACCCTGTCACATTTAGGTAATTGTTGATGTTATAGAAAACTCGATGAAACAAAGACTTAACATTTTTGCATTTCAACCCACTTTTTTTTTTTTAAGCCACTTATTATTTGGCTAATCAGAACTTCCCAACCCAGATCTGGAAATTTGCTAAGTCTTGCCTTGGGGAGTCATAAGACCAGGAACCTATTTCCTTGGTGGCTGAAGGGCTTTGATGTGAACATTCAGAACTTTCAGAAAGAAAGGCGTAGGGCCTTCTGAGGGCAGATCATTCACCTAGAGATTCTTTTTTTTTTTTTAATTTTTATTTATTTATGATAGTCACAGAGAGAGAGAGAGAGAGAGAGAGAGAGAGAGAGAGAGGGGCAGAGACACAGGCAGAGGGAGAAGCAGGCTCCATGCACCGGGAGCCCGACATGGGATTCGATCCCGGGTCTCCAGGATCATGCCCTGGGCCAAAGGCAGGCGCCAAACCGCTGCGCCACCCAGGGATCCCCCACCTAGAGATTCTTGCTTGTTGTCTGGTCTGGTGGGGCTTGGCGGGCCTCCAGCAGAATGGCCCACTCAGTCTTTCTTGGCAGAGATGCCTTGAATACATTCCTACCTATTTGTTCCCACAAAGAATTGTTTTCAGAATGCCTTTATGCTCTATTTTCCCTGTAGCCCCTCGAGCTAAAACATCCAATTGTGTGCTTCCTGGGCTGGGCCCATTTTAGCAGCTCTGGGGGGCCCGACTGGATAGGGAGCCACTGTGCTGGGCACAGCCCCTCCTTCCTGCAGGCCTCGAAAGAGACATATCCCTGGTCACCTAGCCCTCTTTGGGGTTGGGGTGGAAGTCGAGTAACATTGCATTCAGCCATTTCCTGTAATAATTCGGGTGGGGTTAGTGAAGTTTATCTTGAGCCACAGAACAAGGGATTTGATCATCAGTGAGATATTGGGGCCTGGTATTTAGGCTCCCTCCACCAACACAGACTCTGATTGTAGAGCCTGGTTTCAGCCACACTGCTTGCCACCTGGACCCTTCCCAGGTGCTCCCCCGTGCAGCTGCCTTGGACCAGCAGCCTGTCGAGTGAAGAGTGAGCTGAGCGACTGGGATCTCCTTTACCCAGGGCAAAGCCAGGTTGGCAGGGAGCCAGCACTTTGTTCAGGATACATTCAGCCCTACTCCCTTCTCCCTCACAGCCCCAGGCTGCCAGTAGGGCCTAGTTGTGAAACTCCTCAAGCAGTGCACAAGTATGTAGACAGAATGTGCCAGCCTTCCCTTCCTCTGGCGAACCACTGTCACCTCAAGTTGGCACGTCTCTTCCCAGACCCTTTTAATGGACTTGCATGTATGCTTGCATGTACATCTTCACAGACATGTGAAAAATACATATGTAGGATCATAGCAAATACATTCTACCACAGGCTTTTGTTCCAGGCAGGGGTTTAATTGAGGCACCTTCGTTCTTTCTCCTGGCTGTGTGGTACTCTAAGGTGTGGCTGTGTGGCTGTAGCATACACAACTTGTTGAGCCTCTGATCTGTCTGAGATGAGAGCTACGTTGCCTCCCCCCCCCCTTTTTTTTTATTATTTAATGCCTGCAGCAGTGCACTCTGGTGTGTGTCTTGGTGCAGAGCAGCTGGCATTTGCATAAGCTCGAGACCTGGCAATGTTACTGATGGTCCTGTAGACAGCGTTTAAATGCCCTGGGAAGTTACTGTATTGACTTAAAAGGCATGTTACGTTTTTAAAGGAAATAGATGGAGGCCTTGGTCTCCCCAGTACTGAGGTTCCTGCTGTGTTGCTGTTTGTTTTTTTTTTTTTAAACTTCTCCCAGTTCTCCTTTTATACGTGTGGGATCATCATATTGGGAACATTTAAAACAACACTAAGAAAATCAGCAGTACTCTCTCACACATCATGCCCGGCTCTCCTGCTAGCCTTCCATGGCTTACCCTCTACCCTAGCCTGGGTGAGGGCTCAGCCCCTGCAGCAGTTAGGTGTGCCCACCCTGCCTGCCACCCTTGTGCCTCATGGCTGTTGGCACTGGGAGGGAAGCTGGTGTGATGCCATTTGAAACCCTCCCTCCCCTGGCTAAAAGAGGGCTGGAGCCCCCTC